AAAAGCAATAAATAAATTATTTTTAACACGTTCACTGCGCCATCATTTTTAAAGAACTTTCAGCTGGTGCGTTGGAGACCTAAAAGATCTCGTAACAAGCCTATCCTCTGGTGCGTTTGAGACCTTATCAGTGTCCTAAAAATACACTTTTGAAAATAATTTATATCTTCCAAAAAAACAATGACATATATTTTGAATTTTTTGTGGGTGAAAGATAGCTAATTGCTTTATATTTTGCTAGGTTCGCACGCAGTTACGACATTTGAATAAACTACAAATAACAAAAAAAATTAGATATCGATTGTATCTCGTACCGCACCCGAAGATAGTTCAATATGTGTAGTAAGTAGTGATGGGAATAAAATAATATCTCAGTTATCGATTCTAAAAGTTTTATTAATTATGCAAAGTGTTTTTCATTAAAACATGGTAAGCACATTGATTGCTTGCACATTACGCGCAAATGGTAACAATTCGTTTAGTTTTTATAGAAGCGTCAGTGCTGTTTAACTGCGTGTGCTCCAACGAAAAAGGTTTATCGTTAAATATTTCATAATCAGAATCACTGTCATTATTAGTCAATGGGGGCAAATTTGAACATTTTCCAAAACAAATATTTTACTGGACGATGCAGCAGTATAATCCGGCGTTGATTTTTTGTTAGAAACCTCACCAATAAAATAGATTTTTTACACTTTTTTCTTTTAAACTTAATCACTCATTGTTTATCAAAAATAATCAACACGCTGATATATACGCGAGTGTTATTTCCAAAACGTGCCCGCGACTTCCCGAATGTCGATTCTAGGACAACACTAAAAATCCCATCCTCCATCTCTTGCGTCTACGAGGCGTACGATTTCACGAGCACCGACATATCTCCTAACGCAAGGAATTAAAACAATTACAGTACTGTGCGTTAGGGACCTAATCCATCTCTAATTTATTTTTTAAAGTCCTTGAATTCAGCTTTAAGTACGAAGCAAATATGTATATTTGTCCTGCTCATCCTTAAAGAACTTTACAAGTTACATCCTCCCGCAAGGAGTGAAAAAACACGATTATGTTCAACGCACAATACAAAAGTCCTGCAAGAGATCTGATAGATCTCGTAATGCAACGAACGTGTTAAGATGTTATTGTGAGTAAACTTTAAAAGATAAACCTTTGCCGTTGCCAAGATTTTATGGATTTAAAGAAATACATTCTGGCATACATGATTGTTAACGGAAGCTCTCACAAAGGAATATTTCTTCGCGTTTTTTTGCAACGTTTTTCATTCATACTCTGCTCACGTTGGTAGAGATATTAAATAGTAAATTAATTAATGAACCAAATTTTTTATTAGAACCAATGGTTCCTGAGATTAGCATGTCCAAATAAAAAAAAACTCTAGCTTCATGATATTATATTAGCCTAGTATACGAGTATTTGAATTGTAAGCATTTTTAGAACGAAATTTGGCTGTCATTTTTATATATAAATAATTTTATTTGTATTTACATATTTTTTCTAACAACTGGCACGGAATAGATCTCTTGTAAGCTATAAGACTGATGTCCTAACTTAAGGCTGTTCTACAATTATTAAAATTATGACCAAAGTGCTTATTTAAACCGACTTTTTTAATAATCGGCCAAGCTGCTTTGTTTAATATATTTTGAACACCTGGCTTTTACGAGATAATTTAAACATAAATATTTTTGCTCTGTATACGTACATACGATTTCTTAAATTTGTTTAAATGTTATTAGTATTAACAAGGTTCTGATTTTATTACGCTCGTATTAATTTTTCATATTTTTTTCGACTTAATTATGCATAACCTAAATTAAAATAAAAAGCGCGAATAAAGCGAAATAAAAACAAATCGTTTTACACTTTTCTTTGTAATATATAGAAGAATACGTCTAAAGAAAAACCTTGTGAATGAAATACCCATCATTAATCATACGTAAAAGAACTTACCCGTTTAATATTCTACTTACAAAGCGAACAAATAAAGCCGAGTTAATAATAATACAAACATGTATCGCTCTGGGAATTAAAGTTATTATCCTCAGTCAAGGTGACGCCAAAACATTGACTCGACCATTACCGCATATTACCAAATGAATATTTGAATACGGAATTCAGGCTGACACCGTAATTCAATTTTATGATGTAATGACGAAAAAATTAATATACTTAAAGATTATCACTACTAGGTTAGAATGGAAAAAGCTGTAAATAACATATTGTATATTTTATGTTAATAAAAGCTTTCTTGCTATGTTATAGCGAAAAGTAAAACAAATCAAATCAATTGATTTCCTATGCATTACCGAACATTGGCTTAGATAATGCCAAATCATCTTTAACTTTGATCAGCACCAAGTTGCTTGTTCGTTTTGCAGATTGTCAGCGATTCATGGGGGCTCTTTGATTATTGTTAATAAAAATTTGAAGTATAAAAAGCGTAATGATATCGTGTGTCTGTCTCTAGAACATTCTTTCGAAGTATCCTGTGTAGATTGAGAATTGCATTATTTTAAGTGTTTACAGCCCACCAAGTGCATCTTACAATTTTTTTGAAGAAAAGTTTGAGGATATTTTGTGTAAGGTTAGTTTTAAGAACAATAAAGTATATTATTATAGGTCGTGACTTCAATATAAATTTATTAAAAATATCTCCATTAGAAAAATGATACTTTTCTTTATTAAAATCCCAGAGGCTCTTTTATCTCTGACTTTTAAAAAAATTAAGAAATATATTAAAGAAAAGCTGTGTAAAAAGGCTTACTATAAAGTCAACGATTATCTAGTCGATAAAAGGGCCTGGGACTAGTGCTAGACAGGCAACTTCTAATTAATTTGCGATATTTATTTTAAAATAAGTGTTGTTTGCCATAGTCATTTTGTATGATGATTTGATTTGAGAGTTTTTCTCTCGGCTTACACCCTGTGTCTTCTTTGGCGATGAGTAGGGTAGTACCGATACAATGACTACTTTTAAATTTGATTGATCGACTCCAATGTTGAGTTTACCATGAAACCATAAAGAACAGCCCTGCGATTCTGTAACTCACTTTTCGAACTCACACAGCGGTTTTCGCATCGGCGGTCGCTCTCAAATCAGTGGTGAAGCAGTAATTTTATGATTTGACATTCTGATAAACAATAAACTATAAGCTCCCACCTTTTCAAAATGCCAAATCATAAAATTACTGCTTCACGACTGATTTGAGAGCGACCGCCGATGCGAAAACCGCTGTGTGAGTTCGAAAAGTGAGTTACAGAATCGCAGGGCAGCACATTAAAGGAACTGCAAACAACTAGCACACAAAGTCGGGCTTGCCATCGCTGTCGCTATTGTAGTATCTATTATATAACTGTAAAAGCAAAGGGACGGATGTCGACACGACCGGAGTATAACGAGATAAGGTATGCGAACCTTTTCATCCTCTCAAACTTACTACCATTGAATATTTGCAACGCTATTCTATATTTTTCGCCCTTACCGTTTTTTCGATATCTCTTTGTTTTCTTGTATATTTGTTCTGTTAATTAAAAATAATTATGCTTCTTGTTATACGAGATTATGTATTGACTTCAAGCACATTCGATATGTACTCGTATAAATTGATTGAGAGAACAGGATTGTCAACGACCCCAAGTACCACTTGAAAACACTTAGATAGCGTTTAAAACTTGCTTTACCGAAATCCTAAGTCTGAATATAACACGAGTCCATATTCTTTTGAATCGCATAGTACTTAGATGACGTTGCGACAATTTAACAATATTGTTGTCCGATCGCCGAACTTCTGAATCAAGGAGAAAATAAGCTGTACGCTATAATATATTTATAACGAACAAATTATAATATTTTTTTATAATTATTACACCGAATGCTGTAATATATTAATGCCTTTATCGGTCTCTCATTCTCATTTTTTTGTGTAACAGAAGGCAAACAGGCAGGAGGGTCACCTAATGTTAAGTGATACCGCCGCCCATGGACACTCACATTGCCAGGAGGCTCGAAAGTGCGTTGCCGGCCTTTTTAGAAATGCTACTCTCTTTTCTTGAAGGACCCTAAGTCGAACTGGTTCGGAAATTCTTCAGTGAGTAGCTGGTTCCACATAGTGCCACCACTATTACATAGTGCGCGGCAAAAAATGCTTTAAGAAACGCTCAGTTGTGTTATAAACGAAATTTTGAGATCGAGTAATTTCCTCTTAGTGTAAGTAGTATAAATTCTTTTTACTTTGTATATTAATGATTTGGTAAACATCACTAATGGTGTTTCGAGTTTAAATTATTCACATTAGATAATGTGACACACTGTGAAAGCACTGTTCGGGTTTGTTTACGAAATAGATGAATTCACGTAATTGATCCAATTCCAGACTGTCAGTTACCAGTTTTGCAGAAAAACCTTCGATCCGATTTCAGGATTATACGTTACGAGTTTTAACATTCGACGTGATTTATTCCCATTTCGAAGGTTAAAAAACAATTGAATTCACAGCGAAACAAGTGCTGTACATGAAATAGTACTTACGTTGCTTGATAAATAATTAAAGCATTTGCTTTTACTGATTGATTAAATGACTGATTTTAATATACCTACCGTAAAACTGTGGGACAACATTAATTTAGTTTTTCCAAATTTTATTAACCATCACGTTTCTATTACTGTCCAACTAATCGTTTCTTTAACTATAACCGTTAGTTACTACGATTTTTTTTGGGGACAGGAGGCAAATGACCTGGTCGTCTCACTTCGAATTAAGTTCTCCATCCTGGAATTGCAGCTGGTTCCATAAAGTTGTGGTGAACAGGAAGTGTCTTAAAAAGCGCGTGGAATGCGTCAAGGTATAGTGGTTAGAATTTCGCATTCTGTCTGACGTTGATGATGAAAACTCCCCAGGATATATCCGGTAGAAGATGCAGAGCCAATCAGATTGGTAATAGAAAAGAGGGGTGTTTAAATATTTTGAAATTATTAATCTCACCTAATTGTACGAGCTCCAAGCGCCTGTCAGTCACGAAATGCCAAGGAAAGGCTTTGCAAAAGCTTGCAACTCCGATCTTCAGGTCGTGGACATTAGTTGACGCAGCAACTGACACCGCTTCGCTGTGCGCCTCACAGTTCTCTTCTTTAGACTTCTGATGTAAGGGCACCGCACTTATCTCGTATCTGGAAATAGACTCTATTGAAGCTGGCAAATGTATGGCAAAAGACATAGAAGATCTATCATTGTCACAAATTGTGGTGAATGTCAACGGGCATAATTTATCACTACACAATTTATCACTATAATACAATTAGAGTTTTAACAGCACATTCATTAATGATTTCCGCATTGATTATAGTAACAACATGTGTTGGCCTACTGGCTTCAGCGTGCGACTCTCAACCCTGATGTCGTAGGTTCGATATCCGGCTATGCACCAATGGATTTTCTGTCTATGTGCGCATTTAACATTCGCTCGAACGGTGAAGGAAACCGGCTTGCCTTAGACCCTAAAGACGGCTTGTGCTACAGAAGGCTGATTAGCTACTCGCCTATTAGATTGACAAATAATCATGAAACAGATACAGAAATGTGAGATTAAACTAAAAAAGTTCTAGCTCTATTTATTTATTTATTTTAAATTTAAATAATTAAAAATAAACTTAATGTAATCCTGTTTATGTTGAACTCGAATACAGGCTATTTTTATTTTATTTATTACTTATTCTAGAACAAGGTGTTGCTAGTTAAATAATGCATTTTATCACAGATCTTCATTATTAAACGTTTGACACAATGTAAACAATGGAAGCTACGTATCATAAACAATTCAACGCCAAATGCTACGTGCTGTAAACCCATAGATTAACTCTCGCAGAGCCGTACCTCAGTTAAATCTTAGGATCATCTGTAATTAGTAAGGCTTTAGGACAGCATCCATCTTGACTTAATGTGCATCTAAACCGGGTAAAGAAACATTATTGCCAAGAAGATTGACCTAAGTAGATGCTAAGATGTTGAGTTTGAATACAAATCTATTTAGAATTTATGTAATTCATTTGTATAAATAAACAAAATAACTTTATTCATATAGGTAAACAAGTACACTTATGAACGTCAACAGAAAAGATGTTAAATTGATTCTAAATTTAAATTTATTACCAGATCGCAAGTCAAGGGCGTAGAGCGGGCAAAAAGATACTCTCCGCCACTCTTTTTAAACGCCAAGTTTTGAGTCATATAAATTGTTTGGACTGGAGAAAATCAATCCCAAGGATTAGGATCGTTTAAATATTCGTCAAATTTATAAAAAGCTTTATTGATTTATTTACGTTTAACGAGAGTTTTGGATTTATTCAATGATCATTCTCTAATTTCGCTTGGGAGTTTGTTGTAAAACGAATACAATTTCCATATAAGGAGTGGATTATCTTCTGGAGCCTGGTTGGTCGTACGCTTAGATTCGAGTAGATAGTTTCGAGTATTATACTGTTGAAAGTCACCATTTGTTTTTAATTCGTAAATATGTGCACAAAAAAATCTATACTGTATATATTATATATCTAACACTACTACTTCAATATGGACAAATGTCAAAACAATTATAATCATAATTAAATCAACATCAGAGTAACTTAAAAATACAAGACACAATATACAAGATATTTAGATAAAGTAAAGTGCACTGGCCCCCACACTAGGATTCCCTGTGTTGTGGGCAGCCAGTCTCTTCCTTTTGACACGTAAACAGTATTTTAAAAATTATATTAATTATTTCTACACATTTATATTAAAACTATTTTTGCACAATAAGAATATTTTCAGTATCAGAATAGGACAGGTTAACAAGATATTGTTTGAGATGTTTAGTAAATGTATGTAATGTGATTTTTTAAATGTTCGTGATAATTTTGTTTATAATGAAGTGGTTAAAGATGAAAGGGCCTCGGAAGGAGAAAAAGCGTTGGGCGAAGAAAGTGCGAGTTTTGTGATGCTTATATATGGGTTTGCGTTTTGTTTGATGCGGTGCGGTGGGTGTTTGTTTCCAAAAAAGTCTGCATATTGCTATTAAATATAATGGTCTCACAGTTAAAAGTTTTGTTTCATTGTACAATTTTGAAGTTGAGTAGCGGAAAGGTTTCTTATATGAATTCATAATACATACCTAAATCGCCTAGGATCGTTTGTATAGCTCATCAGTCTTATTTCCGCATGGGTATCGTACAGTAACCGCGCGATCGCCCGCAGACTTCCAACGAGCATATAGGCCACTGGCTCACTCTCCGTTGTAAGGTGTAGTTCTATGTTTCCCGCGTGCGATGTACAAACAAAAGCCGCTTCTGTTTCCGTCGTCTCGTCTTTGAACACATCATCCTGTGAAGACAGGTAAGGTATTAATGGGCTTATTGGACCTAAATACATAAGTACATTCTAAATATAAAGATAATTAATAATAATAATAATCTTTATTCATTTCTCACAAAAAGTTAGTACATAAACAAGTGACAGTTATATACTATTATAAATAAATAATTGTCTTACTTCTGTTTAGGGAAAATGCTAGTTTGTGTGAGACTGATGCCTGCTTAAGGTAAGAGTACCTGTGTTTCAGGTCATCAGGCTTCCACCACTTCGGATCGACCGAAGGTCTTATAATTGTAATCAATATACATATATAAGGAAAAGAGAGCAGAACAGTGTTGGCCAAGTGGCTTCAGGGTGCGACTCACAACCCTAAGGTCGTAGGTTCGATCGCCGCCTGTTCACCAATGAAGTTTTCTATGTGCGCATTTAACATTCGCTTGAACCGTGAAAGAAAACATTGTGCGGAAACCGACTTGCCTTAGACCCATAAAGTTGACGGCGTGTGTCAGGCACATGAGGCGGATCACCTACTTGCCTATTAGATTGACAAAATATGATCATGAAAAATATACAGAAATCTGAGGCCCAAGGTTGCAGCGCCACCAATTTCTTTATTTTTATATATAGAATATAAATAATCAAAAAACCGCGCTTGAAAACGTTTACTCCACCGGCAAATTCTTACAAGGATTTGTATGAGTTCTCGTGTCGCAATGTTTGTTCCAATACTCCTCCGAAACGGCTCGACCGTTTCTTATAATTTTTTTATGCATATTAAGTACGTCTGAGAATCAGCTACTATCTATCTTTCAAACCCTTAAGTGATAAGGGGTGTGCAGCCAATTTTTTTTATTTTTAGTCATTTTTTTATGTTTGCCGGGTCAGCTAGTAATGTATATAATTAGGAATTTTTATCGGTAAAGACAGTGTTATGAATTCAAACCATCAAGGATCAAAACTGTTATATTAGTTAGTTAATTTATTATACCGAAGATTAAGTTAATATACATATATGCGTACAATTTCTTATTCAATAATCTCACCTGATCATGTAGTACATCGTGAACACTGTCTAACGTAGTAAGAAATTCAGTCAAGTTAGTTCCTAAGCATTTAAACGCCCGTTCCAGCCGACAATTGTGAGAAAATGCTGTCAAAATTAAATATTCCCCTAGTTTCGCTATAAAGTCTTTCGTACAAACACCTGAAACAAAATATAAAGAACGTTAAAATTTTAGTTGGTGAACAAAAACCTATCACGGAATGACACACACAACACTGTTTATTTATTACTTAAAGAGAGGGACACTTGATTTATACTATAAAAACTTCGAAAACTTCATTATATTAAATAAACCTTAAATCCTATATAATACCAAGACGTTGTTACGCCATCGCGTTTTAACACACGCCTAACGCCATCTATTACTTAAACAAATAATTAATTTAGACATTCCGCCCACCAAGGACGAGTCCTTTCAACATTAGAGTTGCACAAAATTTTGATAGAATTACTTTCATAACAAACAAAAAAATAACATGTTCAGTTAAACATAACATAAAGTTCATCAAGAAAAAACAAGTTAAAGAATTCGAATATTATACTAGGTAAATACGTTAATAATAAATCTAAAATCTACAACAATGAAAAGAAAGAATTATTATAACATTCGTAATTGAATCAAACTTGCCGCCCACCATGATGTAACAAAAAAAAAAAAAAAAAAATCTATTTCTGAAGTATACTTATTTTACTTAAAGGTCTCTTTATAAGGCCATTCTTACATTTTATGGTTATCACTCTAGTGATATTATCAGGACCAGTATGTTTTTCTACAATTTTACCTAATAACCATTTACACGGTGGCAAGTTTTCTTCCCTAACAATACAAATATCATTTATACAAGGGTCTTCAAGTTTCGAATTCCACTTATATCTTTGACTTAAAGTTAACAAATATTCTTTAGACCATTTTTTCCAAAATTTTACAACAATATTCTGCATGACATTCCATCTTTCTTTAAGATTTACATTAAAATTAATAACTGATGTGTCATCAACAATATTTACAAGAGGTTCACCAATCAAAAAATGACCTGGGGTTAATGGGAGAGGGTCATCTGCTACGTCACTAAGCAATGAAATCGGTCTTGAATTTAAGCAAGCCTCAACCTGTGATAGAACAGTAACCAGTTCTTCATATGTCATTAAATTATCACCTATTGCCTTGTTCAAATGTGTTTTAACAGACCGCACTCCGGCTTCCCAAATGCCTCCAAAATTTGGTGCTTGAGGTGGAATAAAATGCCACGTTGTTAATTCAGATGTGAGTAATTTTGCAATCTCATCAGGTATGTTTGATTTAGACCGATCAAACATGTCTCTCAATTGTTTATTGGCACCAACAAAATTTGTGCCATTGTCGCTATACAGATCTCGACAATAACCACGCCTAGCGATAAATCTTCGAAAAGCTGCAATAAAAGCCTTAGAAGTCAAATCGGTGACTAATTCAATATGTATAGCTCGTGTTACCATACATACGAAGAGATAAATATAACTCTTGTAGGTCTTAGCTCCTCGTCCTGGAGAAAATTTTATATGATATGGACCTGCATAATCAACGCCGGTTGCTAAAAATGGTTTACTCGGCTTAAGTCGTGCATCAGGAAGTTGGCCCATAAGCTGTACTCTCGCTGCTTTAGAATACCTTAAACAGGTAATACATTTCCGATAATACTTTTTAACCTGATCTCGAACTCGTACAATCCAATACTTTGAACGAAGAAAGTTTAGCATGATTTGAGGACCGCCATGCAAAGTCTTTTCGTGTGCATCCGAAATTAATAAATTAGTAAGGTGAGACTTAGCAGGTATAATAATGGGATGTCTTGCATCATAACTTTCGTTGGCCATGCTTATTCGTCCGCCTACCCTTAAAATCCCATTATTGCCTAAAATGGGACAAAGAGTGCGTAACACGCTCTTTTTAGGTACTTCTTTTCCATTTGCTATAACTGTTATTTCTTCGCCAAATGCAAATTGTTGCACTTGCTTTATGCAAACTTCTAGTGTTTTATTGATTTCTGTGACTGTTATAAATTTAGGTAAGGTTTTTCGATCTTCTTTTCTCATTACAAATCTTCGACAATATGACATTACTCTCAACATTTTTACTAAATTAGAAAATTTAATCCATTCAAAATTTTCATTCCTTTCTATGATATTCATTGAAACTATTTTTCCTTCTTCATTTGTACCACCAATTTCTAAATCTTCAATTTGAATATTCGTGTTTCTTAACCATTGTGGACCTTCCCACCATAGAGTGTGAGACAGTAACTCAAGCGGACTCAGACCTCTTGACGCGCAATCAGCTGGGTTTGCTTCAGATGAAACATGACCCCACTGAGAGTATTCCATAATAGAAAGTATTTCTGAGACACGATTACTAACGAAAGTCATCCATTTACTTGGTCCACCTTTAAGCCACGCCAAAACTATTGTTGAATCCGTCCATCCATACAGATCATCTTTAGGTATTTTCATAATTTGAGATATTTCGTTAATTAATTTTGATGCTAGTACAGCACCGCATAGTTCTAGTCGAGGAATAGAAACTTTCTTCTCGATTGGAGCTACCTTTGTTTTCGCGGATACTAATCGAACTTCTATTTTATCATCTGAACTGATTACACGAATGTATACTGCGGCTGAGTAAGCTGAACAAGATGCATCTGAAAATGCATGTAATTCAACTCGACTTTTGCGGGTGTAACCCTAACCATCTGGGAATTTGTAATTGCTGAATATGAATAAGATCATTTCTAAAATTAAACCATAATTCACAAAATTCACTTGACAAAGGATCGTCCCAATCAAGATGTTGCTTCCAAATCTGCTGGATCAAAAGCTTTGCTAATACTACGACTGGTGAAATCCAACCCAGAGGGTCATACAAACGGGCAATATTAGACAAAACTTGTCTTTTGTAACAGGATATGTTATTTCTGGTAAAGCAACAACGTATTCAAAACTATCAGTTTCTCGATTCCATTGGACGCCCAGAACCTTTATCATATTATCTGTTTTAATTGGCAAAGATGTCTCCTCTTTATTGTTTTGCTTTCCAATGTAATCCAATAACTCCTTACTATTGCTTGTCCATTTTTGCAATTGAAAGCCACCAGATGTCATTAAAGCATTCATTTCATCGTATACTTCTTTAGCTTCATCAATAGTCTCAGTTCCTGTCATCAAATCATCAACGTAAAAATCAGTATTTGTAATAGACGCTGCCACTGGAAACTTCCTCTTCTCTTCATATGCCAGTCGTTGTAAAGTCTTTACAGCTAGGTACGGAGCACAAGCTGTTCCAAAAGTTAGCGTAAGTAACTTATAATGTTCCACAGGCATGTCTGGATGTGGCCTCCATAAAATCCGCTGAAAATTAGTTTGCGCAGAATCAATTAATACTTGTCTATACATCTTAACTAAATCAGCAACAATGCTAATTCGATGAGTTCGCCACCTCATTAAAATATGTCTTAAATCTTGCTGGATTTTCGGTCCAACCATAAGATCGTCATTTAGCGAAACATCATTCATACCCTTACTAGATGCATTGAAAACCACGCGCACTTTAGTGGTTTCCTTATCTTCTCTCACCACTGCATGGTGAGGAAGATACACTGCAGTACTGTTATCCACATCATCTTCTGCAACTCGAGACATGTGGCCAAGTGTCAAATATTCTTCAATCACTTTTGTATACTCTTCACGTAACCAAAAATTATTAGATAATCTTCTTTCTAACGACACCAATCTTTTCATTGCAATATCCATAGATTGTCCATACTGACATTCTGGATCCTTATTTTTAAATGGTAATGTAACAATGAACCTTCCATTCTCATTTCTAGTAGTCGTAGCCTCATAAAGTGTTTCACACATTTGCTCTTCCACAGAAAGTCTCTTCTGAATCCTATCTGGTTCAGCCTCTATCTCCCAAAAACGTTTTAGATAATCATCTTCCTGTTCGACTTGCAAATGTAAACTCGTAATGTTAGCTGTGGAATAAGTATCAGACATTTTTCCCGATAAAACCCAACCAAAGGCCGTATTTTGTGCGATAAGTTTTCCTTTGGGTTGTTTTATTAGGCCATCTAACAATATATCTGAGTATACCTCAGCTCCTACCAATAAATCTATTTTACCTGGTACAGTATAACCTGGATCAGCTAATTCTAACGTAGAAAGTTCCTTCCAATCAGGTAAATCAATTCTGTCACAAGGCAGCATATCAGTGAGTGACCGTAACACGTAAGCATTAACTCGAATTAAACATTCTGGATTATGGCGAGATTCTAAATACAATATAACTAAATATTTTACATGCATTTGACCATCTCCCAGACCTGAAACATTACAATTAACAGATAATTTTTTTAAATTTAATAATTGAGCAGCCGCTTCTGTGATAAACGAAGCTTGCGAGCCTTGATCTAACAAAACCCGCAATATACTCCTATTTCCACTCCTCGACCTCGCCTTGACGACAGCTGTTGCCAGAAGCACTTGTTGATTGTGCCTTTGATGTTTTGCAAAATTTGCTACAATCGATGTACTTGGCACCGGATTCTCTTCTCCGTTTTTAACTTCCTCCAATACATTATTAATGTGTGTGTCACTTCCTTCCCTCTCAATATGCAGCAAAGTATTATGTCTTCTGCCACATTTTTTACAACATGTCGATTGTCGACATTTATTTACTACGTGAGTCTTTTGTAAGCAATTGTAACAAAGTCCTTTCGACTGAGCAAAATCTCTTCTTTGTTGAACAGTAAGAAGTCTAAATTGCTTACATAAATTAATATAATGACTTTCTCCGCATAAAAGACAACTAAATTCAGTTTTTTTATTATTCTCTTGAACTGCCGCGTGAAAAGTTTTAGGAACTTGTTTTTTCATTTGAAAACTAGTTTTAGGTAATTGTTTACCAGTCTCAACCATCTCTAGACTCCTAAATCTTCCCTCAAGAAACTCAACAAATTGCGACCATGTTGGCATATCATCTGACAAATTATTTATGTGATTTTCCCACTGTTTATGTGTTTCTAAATCTATTTTCGAGACTGTCAAATAAATTACAATAGAATCCCAAGAAGCCGTAGATATGCCCATATTATCCAAAGCCTTTAAACAAGAAGTTGTTGTATCTAATAATTGTTTAATTGCTGATGATGATTCACTAATTGTTTTCTGTGAAAATAATGTCTTTAGGATTGCATTACTATTATATCTTTTGTTGTTATATCTTTTTACTAATTGATTCCACGCTTCTTCATAGTTGAGATCTGTAGTCGAATAATTTCCTATTAAGTTTAAGGGTTCTCCTACTATACTACTTTTTAAATAATGCAATTTCTGCGCAGGCGACAACTTTTCATTATTATGAATAACAGAACAGAACAAATCATAAAATGTCTGCCATTCACTATATTTTCCAGAAAATGAGGGTAGTTGTATCCGTGGTAATTTTATAACATCTACAGAATGAGCCTTTGCTTGATTTTCCCTACATATTGAACTCTCAAACTGTTCTAACTTTTCTTTTAAATCTGTCATATATTCAGTATATATTTCTTGGAACGAATCACAAATGTCTTCTTCAAAATACGGAAACGATTTTATTTGCTCTGGAACCACTATTTGTATTAAATGCTTATGATTATCCATAAATTCCTTCAGCAACTCATCTCAAGTATTTATACGTGTTTGGACATATGCTTTTGTTATTCTCACTCTTGGACTTTTCTTATAATTTGAATGCGCCTTTTGTAGCCTTGAATGTAAATCCTCTTGATTTTTTATTATGTTAAAAGCCATTATTTCAATTTAAAATTACGTAGTGTATTATTTAAAATCACTAATGTATTAATTATTTAATTTACAACACTTTTTTTTAATTAGTTCAAGATTTGTTGAAATTATTTTAAGTCCAAGATTGGTTGAAATTATTCTAAGTCCATACTAATTACTATAAAATTTTACAAGTCCAGTTGTCACTAATGAATAAATATTCTAAGTCTTTTGCATTAACTCACGAGTCCAAAGTCCATCCCTGGTTTCGGCACCATGAACAAAACCTATCACGGAATGACACACACAACACTGTTTATTTATTACTTAAAGAGAGGGACACTTGATTTATACTATAAAAACTTCGAAAACTTCATTATATTAAATAAACCTTAAATCCTATATAATACCAAGACGTTGTTACGCCATCGCGTTTTAACACACGCCTAACGCCATCTATTACTTAAACAAATAATTAATTTAGACAGTTGGCATACATATTTGTTAAATACTAGTTTTTTGACCAAGTTACTAGGATTTTAGTTTGTTAACACACGAGGCGACATCTACGATCTGAAGGCATCCGTCAGGTTTTAGGGGGTAGGGTTGTAAATATTAAGTCTGAGTCCCACATAATCCCTGCTGGAGTTAAATACCGCAGGGATATGCGTAAAAGCATTTCCTGACATAAAAAAAGGAGGCGAGATTGACAGCCGTTCCTATTAGTACGGGAGGTAGCAACGTTTTCGAGAAAGAATTTTAGGTCAGCTGATTTTGTGATATGTCTTCCTTCTTCCACTTTCGGTTAGAGTCTGGGCTATCTGGCTGGCGGTAGCGGTTGCGTTCATTAGTGCGCATCCTACCTGTCTACCATCCTGGATTTTAAAAGCATTTTAAGAAGCGTAATTTTTAATTTTTCGTTTTTAAATAAGTCTACCTGGCGTACTTTTTTTATTGCCAGTAATTTTTGACAATGCTAACTATGTGCCAGACGCGATTTTAGGTTTTTTTTTATAAAAATTTCAAAGTATTTTATAATGTCTGTAATTTTAATATTATGTTATTTAAATATAAGAAAAACTAAAAATGAATTTGCCAGACATTAATTCGATTGTTAAGCCTTGAATAAAAATGAAAAATTCATGAAACGTATTGCAGTATAATGCTAGTAGTTCGAGAGAGACAATTGCAGAATAAGTCGAGAATGAGACAGAGAACCATTACAAAAGTAAATTACTTGTCACTGTTCATATAATAATAATAATAATTCTAGTCAGAGCAAGTTTAAAAAAAATTAAGTATAAAAAGGAATATAAAATTAGATTAAATTCAATTCCAATTCCGCTTTACAGGGTGGCAAACTGGATGAGTCAAAGTTTCGAATTTTTTTGTCAAAGTTCTCATCTGATTTTTTAGACTTAAACGTACTTGAAAATAAATGAAATCGAACATCGTTAACATTCGAACAATTTTTAACTCCGTACATTTGACAAATAAATTTCTCAAGAATTACAAACGTAGTTTCAAGTACTTCTTCATCATCCGAAATTATATTATCAAAA